CAACCAAGGAGAAAGGGCATTACAGACCCAGGGTGGTCTGAGCAGACACGGTGGCAGGAAAATGCATGGGGGTGGGAGGGGGGATATAGGCAGCTTGCTCTCGCTAGAGCGTAAAGGACTAAGCTGGGACAAGCAGGAGGTGATGTGGGAGTGGCTGTGGGGTGATGACAGGTCCCCAGATCTGGTCTGCGCCCCAGGTGCCAAGGAGCCTGGACTCCGTGCATTCACTAGAGGTCTGTTAAAGCGCTGCAGAACTTCCAGGTGACACAGGAAGATGTGAATTTTAGGAAGTTCATGCAGACTGCAGAATAAAAGCTGGATCCGAGGGTGGAAGAATCGGAGACCAAGCGACCAGTTCAGAGGCAATTACAATAATAATGATAATAAACAAATATAGAAAAATTTAACTATAAGTCATATAAAATACCACAGTACAATAATAATAATAAGGGCGGCTGCCGAGGAGGACCTGAATTAAAGCAGCAGCAGTGCCGTGAAACAGACGAGACTTCGACGGGGGAAAACCACACGACCTAAAAGTTATGAGTTACGTTATATTTGGGGACCTTTCTATGGATGGGAAGATGCCAGAGTCTGGGCTCACTGAAATTATTCCTGAGATAGGCATCTCAGCTCGCTAGGGCCAGTATCCTGTTTTGCTCCATCCTGAGTCCCCTCAGGGCGCAGCATGGGGGCCCGGCTGCAGAGGCTGCTGTTACCGGAATAGCAGACAACATTTCTTTATGAGCAAAACAGATCCAAGAGGCCGTCAGGAGGATGGTCTTCAGCTCTAGCTGTTGAGGCTGTGTGCTGGGAGGTGAGGGGCAGAGGCCGTGGGGGGTGAAGGAAAGAATCTAGACCAATCGGCTCAGTCGACAGGATGGTGCCTTAAACTGGAAGCAGAAGTACATCACAGAGGAAGAGCTGGTTTGGGAGGAAGCTGACGAGGTCCACACTGGACAGACGGCACCCAAGATGCTCAGGGGATGGACCAGCAGCCTGGCCGGTAGCTGCAGGGGTCGGGGGAGGGTGGATATCCCAGTGCAGAGCTCCAGGGGGACATGGTACCTGGACAGGCAGACTGGGAATCACCAGTGCATCCTGCGAAGGCCTGGAGAATACGGGCAGGGTGTGGGGACAGGAGAAGAGGGGGAGGGGGGAGACAGGGGGAGGATGACACCCCGAGGGGGCGGACATGCAAAGGCAGGCAGGAGAAGGAATTCAGAGGAGATAAAGAGATGTGGGTAGAACGAGATCAGCAGGATACCCTTGAAGGCAGGGAAGACAGCGGGTGTCGGCACAGTCAATGACACAGGCGCAGGCATAGCTCAGGATACGGGCATCACACTGAAAACAAGAGGACAGAGCAAAGTTCACAGACGGAGGGCTAATAGCCACCCCTCCCACTTCTGCTCCGGAAACGCTGGCAGCCAGCCTCAGACGCCCTGGCAAGAGGGTGGAGATTCGGATCCAGGAAAAGCAACCATCCCGAGGAAAGCACTGACGTCTGACAGGCCTGCAGTGAGGCCGCGGGACCCCTGGAGTTAGACCGCAGGACCCCAGCCGCACCCGCACACAGAGCTTCCAACGGCCTTTCAGTGCTTCCGATTCCTTTGTATACATGAACATTGAGGGACCGCCAGATATTTGAGGAAAACGGCTGACTTGAAGGGAACTAAAACATTCAAAACTAATCTGGGGAAAGCACAAAATGCAAGGAACGGAACAAAACTTCAAAACCAGATGGAGGAGACACCGTGCCCATGAAATGGGAGAGAATGCTGCAGAAAAAAGGAAAGGAACCCTCGGAAGTTAGCAACACGATAGCAACCATAAAGCATTCAGTAGACGGGCTGGATGGGAAAGTGGAAGAAATCTTCCGGAAAGTACAAAAAGAAATTCATCAGGAAGGATAAGAAAATGAAAGCGCCATCCAGGGGGCCCAGTATTTTACTACTTGGAGCCATGGAGGGTCAGACAGCCTAGGAGTCAGTCACCGGAGACGCTGAGCCCACACCTCTCAGAACTGAAGCGATGAGCCCAGCTCCAGGAGGGCCAAAAACCCGAGGACCAGACCAGCTTCCGGAGAGAAAAGTGGTCATACACAGAAGCCTGAAAACTCGGGCAGCTACAGGCCTCTCGGTAGCAGTACCAGAAACCAGGATGCAATAGGAAATGCCTCCAAAACCCTACGGGAGATTTCCAACCAGAATGCCTCAGGTGCCCAGCCAACCCATCAACCGACCTGGAGGGCGGAGGAAAGATGTTTTTACATATGCGAAGCTTCAGAGTCCTCCTGTCTGTTTTCTCAAGAAGCTGCTGGAGGCTGGGTTTCACCAAAATGAAGGGACAACCCACAGAAGGGGAGGGCTTGGTGCCGGCAACAGGGAGTCACTAGGGCAGAGGCAAAGGGAAGTCCCAGGTCGGTGGGGAGGAAGTACCCAGTGACCAGCAGCTGTGGCCAAGGACCAGCATGACCAGCACAGGTTAGAGCAGGGGCGGGGCGGGGGAGTCATGGAAGAAAAGGAAAGAGGGGGAGGGGAGCAGGAAACTGTCCCAGATCCCCTGTGGGTTCCCATGAACTGAGTTCTCTCTGCCACCAGAAAAACGGAAGCTCGTTAGTCGTGAACACACAGACGACCCAGCAAATGCAAACAAGGCAGAACTCAGCTTCAGAGAAAATCGTGGTGCTGGAAAAAGGGGATATTAATCATAATACACTATGCTGGCTCTGCTGTGAAAAGTATTTACATGGTCACATTATGTAAAGACTTTTAATTTAACCAGATAAAAACTAAACTCACTGAGAAGGCGTGGGAGGGAGGGGTGGGTGGGAGGGGGGATGGGGGTTACACATCACGTGTAGGAAGGTAGCCGTGGTGACCGTGGGGCTGCAGACTCAGCCCACCAGGACTGCAGGCAAAGGGTAGGCAGAGTCGTGGGGTGACCTGGGTAGGCTGTAAGCCCCCTGCCCGGGGCAGAGGCAGAGGCATAGGGAGGGGTGCTCAGACGTTGATCTCGTGGCTCTCTGCCAGTTTCCTGGGGACCTCAATGCCTTCATTGTCACTAAAGTGTCCGTGAGCAGGTGTGGCCCTGACCATGCCCAGAGCATTGAAGTCTTAACAGGGGAGCCTGGAGGAGGGAACTTCCTGACTCTGCAGAACTGACCCACCGACCAGGTGACCCTGGACGGGCCACTTAGGCTCCCTGAAATTCAGGCTCGTCTGTAAAGCGGGACTGCAAAGCTGCCATCATGGGGACTTCCCTGGTGGCGCAGTGGTTAAGAATCCACCTGCCGATCCAGGGGACACGGGTTCGAGCCCCGGTCCGGGAAGATCCCACATGCCGCGCAGCAACTAAGCCCGTGTGCCACAGCTACTGAGCCTGCGCTCTAGAGCCTGCGAGCCACAACTACTGAGCCCACGTGCCACAACTACTGAGCCCACGTGCCTAGAGCCCGTGCTCCACCATAATAGAAGCCACCGCAACAAGAAGCCCGTGCACCGCAACGAAGAGTAGCCCCCGCTCGCCGCAACTAGAGAAAGCCCGCACACAGCAATGAAGACCCGACGCGGCCAAAAATAAAAATAAATAATTTTTTTTAAAAAGGCTGCCATCACGGGTTGTCGCAAGAATGAAATTAGATAACGTCCGAGGAGAGCCTCTGTGGGCATCGAGAGCTCTGAGGGCCTCGTGTTGAAACCAGGTGGAGTAAGCATTGCCTGGAAGCTCCAGGCCTGAGCGAAGCCGGCAGTGGGGTCCCATGTGTGCCCTTGGCAGTGGGGGGCGGGTGGTCCCACGTCTAGGCAGCTGACCCCACAGGAGGCTCAGAGGTCAGGAGAAGGACCTGTGGACTCCGGCGTCATGGACCAGTAATGACTGCCAAGCTACTGGCCAACCGGACACAGCCAAGCCTCAGGGCTTCAGGGACCTGCGGGACCTGCCACTGATCCCTGTCGTTCCAGCATCACCGAACTCTCACCTGACAAACCCTGAGCCATGGCGCCTGGGACACACAGGGCTGGGCTCCTGGGGGCCTCTGGTCACAGCGTTTTCACCAACCTGTCAACACATGACCTTGTTTTATGTATATTTCTGTTTAAAGACACTTTATCTAATATGTACCGAAGACTCATTAACATTGAGTTCGTGGCCAACAGCCCTAGATCTTACACCCGAACGAAGCCCGTCTAACGTGTTTTCTCCAAAAATCACGTCCCAGCTTCCCTGAGCTCAGGACACCTGCAGCATCAGCTTGGGGGCCATTTTAAACACCGGAATCACCGACAAAATCACAGATATGCAAAAACCGCGGCACCAGATACTTGTTTACAGTACGAGACGGAAACCTGGAGGCAGACGTCGTCTTGCTTAACGCCAGCTGGGCACATGTGCCGCAGGTGACACCTTTCACCCCCCTGCACGTGAGTGACCATAAAGGCCCCGTGAGTAGTGATCAGGGGTTACAAATAAATTTTAGCAAGTGGGCTGATCTGCAAATACGGCTTCCACAAATAATGAGCAGTGGCTGTTATTAAGCTCATTTTACAGAGCAAGAAACTGAGGCTCGTCCAGGCAAACGGCTACACCTGACCAACAAGTGGCAGAGCCGGGATTCAGACCAGCCACGACTGCGGCACCGGCACCGTGTGCACCAGCCTCAGGCCCCGCCCACGACTGCAGCACCTTGTGCACCAGCCCCAGGCCCCGCCCACCACTGCAGCCCCATGTGCACTGTCTCCAGGCCCCGCCCACGACTGCAGCCCCATGTGCACTGTCTCCAGGCCCCGCCCACCACTGCAGCCCCATGTGCACTGTCTCCAGGCCCCGCCCATGACTGCAGCACCGTGTGCGCCAGCCCCAGGATAGCTTCTCATTTACGGCTAAGGCCCCCGAGGCCCAGAGAGGTTGCTGAGTCACCTAAGGCCGCACAGATGTTGGGGGCAGTTCAGGCTGAACCCTGGCCCTGGACCCGGGGAGTGTCCTTTCTCACAGCCCTGGACCCGGGGAGTGTCCTTTCTCACAGCTCACGCTTCTTCATGAAGCGTCGTGGGTTCTCCCCTCCCAGAGGTCGGAAGATGCCCTCAGGCCGCTGTCACCAGCTCAGCTCCGGCACTGCAATGAGTGCCTGCAGATGGGGACACCAGGGGGCGCCCCCCTCGCCAGCGCCGGGTGCCCCCCAGCCTGAGCGGTCCAGGAAACGGGAGGAACAATGGGGTGATTGATGCAGGCGCCCTGAAAGACAGATTGTTCAGATGAAGAGCATTCCAGGCTCCCGCCAAACGCCCAGAGTGCATGGAATTTCAAGGAAAAGCTGAGTAAATGAGAGCTGTCTGGCTGGGACCCTGGCCCCCTCTCCGGGGTGTTGCAGGCTCAGCCTGGGCCCCAGAGGCCGAGCCTGGCCAGGTGGAGGCGGCAGGGGAAGCAGAGGGAAGGTGGAGTCATGGGTGGGAGAAGGGCTTCCTCCCCACCCTTCAGATGGCCTCCGCCTCTGGATACACTCAGACAGGCACCCAGGTCCTGTCCCCGCAGCAGCGCTGGCGTGAACCCCAGGGTGGCCTCAGGTAGAGCCTTCCACCTCTCTGAACTCTGTTTTCTCATCTGTAAGGTGGGCCTAAGCCTCCTCCCCTTTGTGTCCAGGGCCATTGTGAGGGCCAAGGAGGAAGGGCTGCCCAGCTCAGCATCAGGCCGCTCTCTGGTCAAGGCAGGCCCCATCGAGCCGCACCAGGACCCAGCCCCTGCCCCTTCGGCTCACTGCCCAGACCTCCAGGGGACCCGGCCCAGCACCGGCCCCTGGCGTGAGCTCCCAGCCTCCACCAGCCCAGGATCTGAACTTCCGACCACCGCCCAAGGCCAGGGAGGGGGGAGAAGGATCTGGGCTGAGGGCGCACAAGGGTTCCTTGTCCTGCCGGGCAGCCTGGCACCGCCTGTCCTGTCCCCAGAAGGAGTCTCTCTGGGACTATTGTCTTTCTCGTGTGACTCCGGGAAGGGCAGATCAGGGCCATGGGGCCAGGCCGAGCGGCCGTGGCCTGCTCACACCGCACGCCTGCCCCCGGAGCGCCGGGGCCACCCCAGCACGGGGCCCAGCCAGCACTTCTGTTCCTCGTGGTGGCTCCGCCCCCGGCCCCTTCCCTCCTGAAAACCTCAGCTCCCACCCTGTCTTCACAGCCTCTGTTCCACCCGTGTTCCTTTGCTGCTTTACTAATTGAATTATTTACAGTTCTTGCTGGGCACCCAGCAGAGTCCCCGCCCTCGTTAGCCTTCAGTAAGATGTAATTATAGCCCAGCCGCCCACCTAAGTCACCCAGGCAGGGACGGAAACTCCCATCCTTTACTCTGGGCCGGCTTTCAGTGTTTGTCACTGTTCCTCCTGGCGGCCCTGCTCCCTGGCACCCCCCGCGTCCCCTTGCTGCTCTGCCCCAGCCCGTTCTCGGCCCACAGACCCCAGTTCCCACCCAACATCAGGCAAGCGCTACATGATTTTGAGCAAATGACGCAAAGTTTCCGGAGTGTGTTTCTTTATCTGCAAAGTGAGAAGGGCTCATCTCTGCTCCAGGCGGTGGGAAGATCAAACACGATGGTAGTTATGAAAGCCCCGTGACACCTGCTCACCAGCCACACAGCGGAGAAACCGTCACGCTGGTCCACGTGCTAGCAGGCAGCCTCCCCAGCCACCTGGAGATGAGGCTGTCCTGGTCCAGCTCCTGGAGACTAATAATAATGGTCCCCGTGGCGGGTAGTGTCCCAACTTCACCAAGCATTTTCACACCCTTCAGACCATTATAACTCTCCCAGCGGATCCAGCGACAGAGCGGTGGGGAGGGAAAGTGATCTGGGACAGCTGGAAACATTCAGCATCCCCTGGGCCATCTCCACAGGATTTACCATCTGCCGAAGATGCCCATTCCAGCTCCCTAGACACACACTGGTGAGGGAGGGCTGAGCAAACAGATCTCAGCAGCCCCACTCTGGGGCCAGGATGGGTCCCTCCAGCCGGTCCACAGTTCCTCCCAGGGCGCGACAGAGTTCAGTCCTGAACAAAGGCCTTCTGAGTGCTGGTGGTGACCGAAGAGGAGGCGCACGTGCCCCGGGCACACCCTTCCTGCCAGGGTCCCCGCCAGCCGCGCCCGCGCCCTTCCTGGCTTCTGGAAGGGTGGGCAGCTCTAAGTCCCTCAGGAAACAGCGCTGGGGCCGTCTGCCAGCATCGCATGTGTGAGCAGAGGCCCAGGCCCAGGGAGCCGTCAGCCGGCCTGGGGAGGGTTACGTCCACAGCATGTGCCTGGGACCCAGGTGTTCCCGTGGGCGTGGGAGGTCTTGGGGGGGTACTTAACAGCCTCCGCCTCTGCCGGGCTACCTCACCTGCCCTGGGGAGAGATGCTGCTCTTGGGGAAAGGAAAAGAAGAGCCCGGCTGTGCGGCCGGGCCTCCCACGCAGGTGCCAGGGGAGGTGGGGGGCAGACAGCAGGGAGATGCCAGGACGGGAAGGCAGGGCTGGCCCTGTCTGTCCTGACCTCCCTTCATGTGAGGACAGCCGTTGGCAGCAGGGAAGTCGGTCTGGGAGTTCAGACTCCGGGCCTCACTTGCTGGGTGAGAATAGGATGCTAAGAATAGGAGAATATGGTCTGTGCCTCAGTTTCTTCCCTCCTGGGCACACCCTCCAGGCAGACTGAATGATAGCCCCCCAGAATGTCCACATTCTAAGCCCTGGAACCTGTGAATATTACCTTACGTGGCAAAGACCTTGCAAACATGACCACGTTAGGGATCTTGAGATGTGGAGACGACCCTGGATTATCCGGGTGGGCTGTAACAGTTGCCATGTGTCTGTAAGAAGAGGTACACAGAGGATTACAGACAGAGGAGGAGGGGGCAACGTGACCACAGAGGCAGAGGCTGCAGTGATGGGGCCACAGCCGAAGGACCCTTGGATCCCCAGAAGCTGGAAGAGGCAGGGGCTGATTCTTGTCCGTAGGCTTGTCCGAAGTACAGCCCTGCCGACGCCCTGACTCCAGCCGGGCATCAGCCCCGTGCTGATTTCGAATGTCTGGTCTCCAGAGCCGTGAAAGAAGGGACCTCTGTTGTTTCAAGCCACCACGTGTGTGGTCGCTTGTCACACCAGCCACAGGAGGCTGCTGGTTGCGTCCTCCTTGCCCGGTGGCACGAGGAGTCCGGTGCCTCGTCTGGCTCCCAGCAAAGTAGCTCGTCTTCTCTGCTGTGCTGGAGAACATCTTTTTCAAGGAGTTTGTCTTCTCCGCCATACGGATAATGCTTTTAAATGGCCAAGGACATCGTTCCGGCCTGGAAACATTCCAGGGTGTCCTGGGCTAAACAGGCTGGCGAGAGAAGGTGCGCTGCCCACGTGGGAGACAACAGACCTGCCCCTCCTCACCCCCAGGCCCCAGCCTCCTCACGCGGCCCCCAGGACCACTGGACTGAGCCCAGAGCATCCGCTCAGGAGATTCTAGACTCTCAGGCACTAGGCAAACACTGAACTCTCCCTGTGAGCCAAGCACAGGGCCAGCCCAGAGAAGAAAGGCACCGAGAACTTGGTCCCTACCCCGGGGCGGGAGGGTGGAGGCAGACAAGCAGACCGAGGCTACAGCAGTGAGTGTGTGAAGAGCCGGGCGAGAAGAGAGCCCTGACGACAGCATCTGCTTCGTCATCTGTTGCCGAGTGACAAATCGTCACAGACTTGTGGTGTAGACAACACAGTGCATCATCTCACAGCCTCTAAGGGCCAGGGATCCGGGCGTGCCCCCGGGCCTTCTGCTCTGGGGTCTCACAGACAGCAACCAAGTTGTCGGCCAGGAGGGGGTGTCGTCTCAAGGTCTGACCGGGAGGGACCTGCTTCCAAACTCACATGGTCGCCGGTGGGACCCAGGTCCCTGCGGGCTGTTGGTCAAAGACCACTCTCAGTCCTGCCACGTGGGCCCATCCAACACGGACGTTTCCTTCGTCGAAAGGAGGCAAGGAGAGCACCGCGATGAGTGAGATGGGCACCAGGATCTCACGTGGCCCTAATTGCAGACGTGACAACCCGTCCACTCACCAGGCCAGTCGCTCTCGAGGGGCGGGGTCCACACAAGCCCTGCAGGGGGCGGAGACCACGGGGGCTGCTAAGGGTCTGCCTGCCACCAGGACTCCCAAACTGGGTCTCAGATGAACAGCGGGGACCAGCGAGATCAGCGGGAGCGCGGGGCTCGGAAGAACGTGGTGGTCGACTGAGAAACCAGAGCAGAAGGGCTTCCAGGCAGAGAGCAGAGCTCAGGGAACCCGCGCCCGCCCGAGTGTGGCCCAGGAGTTGATGTTTTACTATGTGCCCACTTGTGTGTCCTGACCCTATTTATCTGCAGTGTTCCTGGAGAAAGAGAGGATTATTGCTGTGTCTCCATCTGTGAAAACCTGCTCTGTCTCCATCTGTGAAAACTGACCCCAGGCAGTAAGAGTGTGGCCGAGGCCAACTGCCCATGTGGACCCCCTTCTGCAGGGCGTATTTGACAAAGATGGAATCTGGCAAAGAAAAGCACAGGCGAGCACCAGTCTGAGGAAGACACAGGAAGTGGAGGAATGAGGTCGCCCTTGCAGCCAGGACCCCGGCCTCTGAGGCTAAGTGAACGCATGGGAGCTCGCAGTGTGTGTGTGTGTGTGTGTGTGTGTGTGTGTGTGTGTGTGTGTGTGTGTGTGAAGACACCACTCAGCAGACTCCACTCACTAAATCTCCACCAGGCGCCTGGGCCCCAAGCCCCGAGGCCCGCACAGCAGCCCTGAGTTACCTGCACCCCACGCGCTTCTCCCCCAGCCCAAGATTCACCACGGCATCTATCAGGAAATAGTCCAATATCACAGGCTGTTGTGATAACACAGCAAGATCACATCTGAAGGTTCCTGGAGACTCAGAGGCCTGGGTGGAAACACAGGGTGATGACAAAGATTAGAGGACGGGGGAGGGGTCTTCCAGAGACCTTGCTGGGAGGGGGCTTGCTGGAGAAACAGACCATTGCGGCTGGACCCACGGGAGCGGGGAATGCATGTTGTCACTCGTGGTTTGGAAGTGCGGAAAGCATGGGGTCTGACGTCTCCCTTTGCACAGATAGTTGAAAGCTCCAAACGGCTGCCCCGACCACCCCAGTCGAGTATAACTGATTGCTGGTGTTCGAACCGCTTTCTGAGCTCCGTTAGTCCTTTTATCCGTCTTGATTAGCGTGGAGGCCCACCTCCCTCGCCACAGGGCGTCAGCCAAGGCTCCCAGGGCTGGCCTGGGTCCCATTCTGCCCTCTCCTCTGGGCTTGGTGGGCGACAGGCTCTGGGAACTCAGGCGTGGTGGGTAACCTGCCCTGCCTTCCCGGGCGGGGGGACAGGCGTGCATGTGCGTGTGCATGCGTGTGTGCGTGTGTGTGCAGGGCTCTGGGCCACTGGAGCGCAGCCCGGTAGCGGTGCCGGTGGAGATCGCGGCGGCGCAGCTCAGTCTAATGACGAGGAATCTTGACAGATACTGACCTGCTGTCTCTCTCCAGCCTCCTTCTAACCAGGGGGCCCCGGGGGCAGTGGGAAGGGCCTGGGCCCCCCACCCTGGGCCCCTGCTTCCACTCTTCCTGGTGGCAGTTCTTCGTCTGGACGGGAGGTAAGTCTGGCAGAGCCTGTGTGTAATTTAGGCTGCACCCCGAGGGCTCGATGTTGGTCCTGAGTACGTTAGTTACACGCGGCTTCCCCCCAAATGTGGATCAGGTGGGCAAGGTCGCGGGGAGGATTTCTACGCGGCTGTGCTCACAGACGGCCATGTGCACCATCTGTGTGCTGTGTCCTTTACGGGCACTCTCTCCACCACGTCTCACAGTGATCCAGGAAGTAGACCATGTCGTCTCCGTTTTAATGGGAGCCAAGTAGCGTGGCCAAAAAGACACGGCCTCGCGGCTATGATTAGCGCTTTGGTGGTCAGCGGCCACCTGCACACCTGCTCGTGGGTGACCTGAGTCACTGCCCACACGGGCATTTCCTAAACGGCTGCTGTCTCACCACTGTCTCCCCGACCCCTCCCAGTCCCCCCACGGCTCCCCACACCCATCTCCCTGCCCCCAGGTCTCCCTCCTCTGCGACCACCGGCCCTTCTGAAGCAGCTCACCAGCACCCACGCTGTTCTCCAGCGGGCCCAGCCGTGCCGCTCTAAGAAGTCTCCTAAAGGACCTGCATGATGGCATTTATATGAGGACTCTAAAAAGTACAACAAACTAGAGAATATAACACTAGCAGCAGACTCACAGATACAGAGAACAAACTAGTGGTTACCACGGGGGAGAGGGAAGGTAAGGGCAAAATAGGGGGAGAGGAATAAGAGGTACAAACTACTATGTACAAAATAAATCAGCTGCACAGACACAGTGTACAACACGGGGAATATAGCCAATATTTTATAATAACTTTAAATAGATATTGTGAATCCTGTATTGTACATCTGTAACTTATATAATATTGCACATCAGCTATACTTTGATTTTTAAAAAAATAAAACTTACATTAAAAAAAGAATTATTTTTTAAAAAATCCAGAGACACAGAGATTTAAATATTTCTTTTTCTATATATAAATTTATTTTATTTTTATTTACTTATTATTTTTGGCTGTGTTGGGTCTTCGTTGCTGCGCACGGGCTTTCTCTAGTTGCAGCGAGCAGGGGCCACTCTTCGTTGCAGTGCACGGGCTTCTCACTGCGGTGGCTTCTCTTAATGCGGAGCACGGGCTCTAGGTGCACGGGCTTCAGTAGTTGTGGCTCGCGGGCTCTAGAGCGCAGGCTCAGTAATTGTGGCGCACGGGCTTATGTGCTCCATGGCACGTGGGATCTTCCCGGATCAGGGCTCGAATGTCCCCTGCATTGGCAGGCAGATTCTTAACCACTGCGCCACCAGGGAAGCCCCAGACGCAGAGATTTAAATAGGCAAACGTTCGTTGCAGCCTTATATATAACAAAGGAAAAATCAAAAAAAACATGGGGATCCAACGAATGAGGGATTGAATGTCAAATAAATAATATAAACGTAATAGAATAATATACAGGCATTAAAATATTTAATGTCAGGCTTCCCTGGTGGCGCAGTGGTTGAGAGTCCACCTGCCCATGCAGGGGACGCGGGTTCGTGCCCCGGTCCGGGAAGATCCCACATGCCGCGGAGCGGCTGGGCCCGTGAGCCATGGCCGCTGAGCCTGCGCGTCCGGAGCCTGTGCTCCGCAACGGGAGAGGCCGCAACAGTGAGAGGCCCGCGTACCGCAAAAAAAAACAAAAAGAAAAGAAAAAAAAATTTAATGTCATGGCCTCATAACACAATATATTAATACATAAAAAAATCAAGATATAATACACATAATGACCCATGTGTGAAAATAATTACATATTACAGATCATATATAATTATATATTACGTATATATTTGCATAGGAGTAAATGTAGAAGGAAATATACCAAAATGCTAGCAAAGATTTTCTCAAAGATGGGAACACAGAGATATTTGTTTCCCTCTTTATAATTTTCTGTCCTTTCACATTTTTCTCCAATGTAATAAAATAAAGGGGTGTGTGTGTAAGAACAGCGGCTTGGAGATGGGCTCCCCACTGCATGGAGAGAGAAGCGGAGATCACGGTCGGGGGCTCCAAGTCAGCTACCTCCTCTGTGCTCACCTGTTGTGCTCCCAGGCTCTGTGCCACCTCACCTTTTCCAGCCCTGGCAACTCTGCCCAGGGTAGGTCTTCCCCTGTGCGTTTCCCGCCCACTGAGAGTCAGACCCCTAACCCCCTTGGAAAGACCACCGGAAACGTTCCCTGCATCCCGCCCCACCCCCAGAGCTCTGCCCCGACCGCACAGCCCTCCTCCCCGTTCAGTCCGCCTGCTCTGGCTCCAGTACCTGGCAGGTGGCGCAGGCTCGGCACTGGTGCAGCAGGTGTGGAGCTGATTGGAGAGCCCGGAGGACACTTGGTTCTCCTTCCTCCCTGCAGCCGGGACCTGACCGTCCTCTGAGGACGGCAGGAAAGCCTGCTGGCGCCAGCGCAGGGGCCGGAGGAGCGCATGGGCCATCACACAGTAGCTCACAGCCCGGGACTCTGCGTGGTCCCTTCTCAGGGCCGAGGGCTGTGGGCGGAGCTGACTGCTGAGACGGGGAGGGTGGGAGAGGCCAGGCTTTCTGACCCTGGGCGGGGCTGGGAGGGGGGTGACCAATGGTCCCAGAGTGCCCAGGAGTGAGGGGCTTCTGGGGACACAGAGCTTTCAGTGCTAAAACCAGTAGAGTCCCAGGCAAGCTGGGATGAGGGGTGAGCCCTACCTGTGGGGCTCTGGGACCAGGGTGCTGCCACACGGGGTCACGTCTGCTGAGCCCAGAGCCCTTGTCCCTGCAGGATGGGGTCCCTGTACCCAGGTGATGAGACAAACAGCATTTGGGCCAACACAGGACCGGCACTGTCCCCAGCGTTCTCATGCCCCTCCCCCGACCCGGGGTCCCTCCGTTGTTGCAGGGGATCCTGCCCCAACCTTGACCCTGCGGGCACCCACAGATCCTCCCAACCCGGGGACACCTCCCTGTGTCTCCTCCTGTTTCAAGGCCTGGCTGCAGTCACCCCTCCACCCCTGCAGCCGCCTCCACCTGAGTCTGTAGAGGGTCCCTTCCGGCCCTCACGCGGCCCCCAGGCCTCAGCGCGTACTCTCAGTGCCCGCCTGTGAGCTCCCTTCTCCCCAGGAAATCGCGGGCAAACTCGCTCTGTCACTCGCCCGCTCATCCTGGGAGAAGTACTCGTCTGGTGTGGATTCAGAGAACACATCTAGAGGCCCACTGCCCAGTCGAGTCCTGGCTCCTCCGCCAGTCAGCCGCTGTGTGACTCCTAACAAGTCACATGACCTCTCTGGGCCTCAGTTTCTGAATGTAAAACTAATCCACAACCTCAGCGGCTGGACGTTCCACGACCCCCTTGTGCTGATCGTGGGTCAGTGCCCACGGAGCAAGCTTGGTTACCGTTTGCAACCGTGATGATGAATCGCCTGCCTTGTCCCAGGAACTCAGAGGCAGCAGGAACATAGTGACGGGAGTGACCGACTGTCGCCAGGCAGCGTGGTGACGGGAGAGCAGAGAGCAGTTCCTTGGCCTGGACCGAGCAGGGAGGCTCCCCATGGCGGGGTTGTGGGCTGAGCAAAGGCCCCCAGCTAGTCCTGGGACCTGGCGCTTCCCATGCAGGGGCGCCGGCTGGGGACTGTGGGGACGGACACTGGAAAGAGCCCTGACCTCGGAGGGCACACTTCCTGGGAGCTGGGACTTCCTTCCTGTGCATCGGGGAAACCTCGGGAGGTTTTAATCGGAAGGATGAACTGCGTCCTGGGCGGGACACTCAGGTGGCTGGGAGGAGGTCAGCCCGGGCTCCCAGTACAGCCTCCTGGCAGCCCTGCGCACAGCGAATCACAGAGTCTTGCCGGGGTCCCTGCGCCTGGCCGCCAAGGTGCCTCTACACCCCAGCTTCCAGGAAAGGCCAGACTCCAGGGTCACGGGCGCGATGCCCGCTCCCTCCTGCGGTAGACCCTCTGCTTCCGGCAGCTCTTTGCACTCGTCCCCATTCCCTGCAACAGGCTGGCTCTTGCCAAAGCCTCAGCTCCCAGCCCAGCTCACCTGACTAGAGCCAGCCGGGCCCTTCTCCCCCGCCTCCCCACCCGGCCTCAGTGGATTCCCAGCTGCCGCCAGGCTGGGACTTGCCCGTCTCATTTTCCCATTGATGACTCAGAGATCGGGCAAGGGTGAGCCGTGGCCGCCGAGGCAAATGGAGAGATGGTGGCGACTGCCCCGCCCTGGCCTCACGGCAGGGTCCCAACTGAGCGAAGTTTTTCCATCTCGTGCATGTCCGCTGGCACTGTCGGGGCCTCTGTGCCCCCAGGAGACCTTGACCTTGCTCTGTGGTCCAGCTGAGCACTCTTGGGGTGAGGGCCCGTGCTCCTTGTCCCAAACTCAGCTGCCAGAGTGGAGAGGACACCCCTGATCCCAGGAAGCAGAGAGACACCCCAGAGAGGCCACGTATCTTTTAAAAAACGAGACTCACTGCGCAAGTCCCGATCCCTGTGCTGCGAGTTCTTGGCGCCTCCAAGCAGCTATGGGGCTGGAGCGATTATCCCCCTCCCAACACCCGCCACCGGCACTAGTGTCTGCTGAGAGTCTGTTCGAGGGTCTGTGCTGGTGCTGGGGGTCCTACGGCAGCACCCCCTTCACGGGGGCTGGGACCTCCTAGCAAGGGGAGCAGCTGAAGCTGGGTTTGGATAGGAACCAAAGCATCCTTGGAACCAACGGGCTGGCTGTTCCCAAAAAGCAGGGAGGGCCGGGAGCTGGGAGCCCGCTCTCCCCCTGCACTGTGTGTGCCCCCGCAGACACCCCACACTGGCTGTGCCCCCTGCTGTCCTGAGCTGCCAAGCTCCAGAACCACCCCTGCAGGCTCCGCTGCGGACAGGACAGTGCCAGGCAGAAGGACACCGCCTGTGCCGCTGACACCCCTCTACCGGCACAGCAGGTACCTCCTCGCCCTGGGCTCTGGCTCAGATCAGGTGTTTCTTCATCTCCGCGCCCCAGCGCCCAGCGCAGCACCTGGAGGCAAGAGGCATTGGCATGTCTGCTGGATGAGTGTGTCCTGCACCCCGATCCCACCTGCGCACAAACACGCCCCCGCGTCTGAGTGTCTGGACGCCTCCCTGAATCCTCACCATCACCATCACCAAAGTCACCTTTGGGCTCGATGGAAAGAGCAAGGATTCTATTTTATTTTTATTTATTTATTTATTGAGGATTCTAGTTTAGAGGCTGCCGTTTTAGAGCAGGATGGAGAAGCTAAGCCTCTCATGTAGCTTGAATCAAGGAAACAGTGGCAGACACCATGCTCTCCCCACACATATATACAACAGCTGCCAACCTCCCCACCTTTCTCCCAAAGCTCACGGCAGACATCACCAATTGATCACAGCACACTAGCTGGCACGGACAGTGATGCTTATTTGCCATCATGGGCTGGGTATGCAGCCTAAGGAGATCATAAATGAGAGATCTGTAAAAATTCCTTGGTAACTGGTAAGTTCTTATTTGATTGTAAGATGTAGTTCACATATCAGATAAGCAAGAAGCTTCAGAGGACTCTGAGGGACGGGGACAAAGGACAGAGATCGTGATCGGACAGGAGGAGGAATCTGATGCGGAACGAACAGGTTGGAAGCACTGAGGGACCCCGCCTCGTTGCAGGGGACATTCAGCCTCCCCGCCCCTGCCGGGCAGCCGCCGCTTGGCAACAGGGGAGGCCGGACGTGGGTTACCCGATCGGCAGTTTCTGTGTCACTCAAGACAGCTGTGACTCTGTACCTCGGTTTCCCCGCTACTGAAATTATTCGTTTTCAACCATCCCGCAGAGAAGACTTAACGGTGTTAACGTACAAGGCCCAAGTGTGTAAATGACAGAGACAGGCCCTACCCAGAATGCAGAGCCGCCCCCCCAGGAGAGCAGGCAGAGGGGCGTCTCTCGAGACCGAGTGGGCCCGTGCAGGCCTCACGGCCCCTCCCCTAGGACCTCCGAGTCCATGTTCCCTGGGTTGCAGGGTCTCTCCCTCCCCAGGCTGGAGACTGCAGGATGGGGTGTGGACTGGGAAAGCGGGGTGAGGACAGATACTCCAAGCACCAGGTCTTAGCGGCGGGCGAAGAATTCCACTCAGCGAGCGAACGGTGTGGTCACTGCCCTCTGCAGGGCATCTGCATTTGTGGACGGGTGTGAAATGGTAATGGCTGACCCCCCCACCCCCCCACCACCTCCAGGCCTAGTACCGCAGTGGGGGAAGAGGGGAAGGAGGGGGAAAGAACTGTGCAAAGAGAGGCCTGGATGGGTGGGGGTCCCAGAAGGACCCAAGCAGCAGATGACCCCCAGGTGTGGGCCTCAGACCCATCAGCTACCCCCGCCAAAGTAAATCCGGAGGCGAGCCCAGGTGGTTCCTCTTCTGAGCGCCAGCCCGGCCTCCCGAGTCCTGGGGCGCTGGCTCGGCGCCCCCCGGGGGACTGCCTTTCTCCGGGCACGGCACCAAGCCGGGGGGCCGGTTAGCAGTCTGCAGCAGAGACGCAGGGCCGTGGCGGGAGGTGGCTTGGAGGGCAGCTCTCCATCACGATCTCGGAGGCCAGGCCGGTGGCCGGAAGGTCCTGAGCGGGAGTCTGAGTACCCGGGGGCTGCATCTTCATCCTCAGCCCCTCGGGGCCTTTGACCTGCTACCCGGCCCCGGCCGCCCCTAACACGCTCCAACGCCTCCTCCACGCGTCCATGTCCTCTGCCTCACCAAACGGAGCACAGTCACACCCCGCAAGCCAAAGGGGGCATGGAAGCTGGCAAGAAAGAACAGCAGTCAGGGCAGGGCACACACGGGGGCGGCGAGTAGCCACAGGAGCTGTTTGTACCAGAGCTTCCCAACCTGCTCCAACGTTTCAGGAGAGAACAGCATTTGTCCAACACCCTGTCATCACTGCAGGAAGTTGTCCCTCCCGGCCTCTGAGGCCTGGGGGATCAAAGGGGATCAGCTCTAAGGACAGAAGGTCTGCCTCCTGCCTGGCCTCTCAGTGACCCCGCACTGCCCCACGAGAGGCACTTAACAGGAGGGCCGGGGGTGTGCAGCACCGACCCCCAGGCTCAACGGACCCGACCTGGCGAGGTGAGAAGCTGCAGGACAGGGAGAGTCAGCAGGGTGGTGGTAGTGGGGCGAGGGGGATACAGGTTTCCAGGGGAGAAACGACACCTAGATCCTTCCTCAACCTGCGCCCGGTTCCCCCGGGAGGGGGCGGCATCTGGGGAAGACGGCACAGGGCCAGGAGCCACAGTTTCTAGGTTCTATTCCTGGTCCCTCCCCTGAGCCTTGCTGACCACAAACCCGGCCCCACCCCCTCCTCCAGCTTCCCTTCTCGGCCCAGCCAGCATGGCGGGCACTCTGGGGCAGGTGGACAGGCCCACCCTCCTCGGCATCAGTGGCCTGGCCTGCACACCCCACAAATCTCCTGGTTTCCCAACAGCTCAGCCCTAGGACCCAAAACCCACCACTGAGAACAGGTAGTGGAGCTTCCAGGCCCAGCCCAGCTCCCACCAAGGTCCCACCTTGGGAGCTACGACTCCTTGGTTCTGGCCCCAACCCTGAGAACCCTGCCACTGAGGGAGGCCGTCTTCCTGCCTCAATCCCACCGTCAAGCTCCAGGACGAGCGTCGTCGCAGCAGAAAGGGGTGGGGGGGCAAGCTCACCGCCCCCTCCGCCCTCCGCAGCTCCCTGAAAGCCACAGCCCAGGAGCCCTGCCTTGGTGGGGGTGGAGGCCCAGCCGCCTGGAGGTCTGTTCTGCTAGCCTCTTCCACCTGAGTCAGGGCAGAACCGACCTGGGGGGGGCGGTGCACATCCTGCCCACCCTCCTCTCAGGCACTGCGGGCACATTCAGGACCCCTGCCCGGCGCCCCAGGGGGAGGGCCGGCTCTTGGCCCCAGGCCCAGGCACCCAGGGTCGACTCCTGGGCTTTCCCTCCCCATTGGCCCTACGACGGCCAGCTTTGAGAGGGCATGCTGGGGTGGGGGGGGGACGGTGCGGGGCGGGGGCCGGGCGGGCATTTCCTCTGTAGGGGAAAGAGGAGAGAGGAGACGGGAGGGCAAGAGGAAAGAAAGGCTCAGACCCCAAGAACTCACCTGTCACGACCCACGACACCGCGTCCATGGCCGCGGGAAGCGAAGACGTTAGCCTGCGGTCTAGGACACGAGGGTCCCGGTCCCGAGGCTCTGCCGGGCGCGCACGGTCTGGATGGCCTGCTGGTTCTTGAACTTGACCAGGCCCAGGGTGATCTGCGCGTTCCAGCCGGGATCCTCGGGCGGGCAGCGGAAGTCGATCTCGCCGCCGCCCTCGGTCACCAGCGTGAAGTAGATGTGGCGCCCGGTGCTCTCCACGCACTCCACGGCTTTGATGCGGGCGAAGCTGAGCTCCTTGGGCCGACCGCCCGCGCCCTTGGCCTCGAAGAGCTGCAGCCCGCGCTCGGTGAGCACGCAGCGCTTGCGCTTCCACTGCTGCAGCAGCCCGCCGCTCCGCTTCTCCAACACGCCCTCCCGGAGCACGGCCGCCGTCATGGGCGCGCGCGGGGCCGGGGCCGCGGCGCGCCCCGCCGGTTCTCCCTGCGGCCCGGCCGGCGCCCGGTGCCTCCCGCGCCGGGCTTCGGCCCCCGCCGCTGCTGCGCGCCCTCCCGCCCGCTCTCGCCCGTTCGCCCGCTCGCTCCCCGGGCCGTCTGCGCGTCGGGCGGCAGCTCGCGGGATGTGCCCTCACATGTCCCGCGCCCGCCTCCCGCCTCCTGCGCCGAGCATTCCTGCCCGGCCGGCCCTCCCCTCTCCTCCCCTCCCCTTCGCTCCTCTCCCCTGCGCTCCCGGGGGCGGGGCGCCTTCAGGCCTCCTGTCTGCCGTTTCTGGGGACCACAGCTCCTCCAGGCCTTGGACTCAGGGGGGGATAGTGAGGGGGAGGAGGAGGGGCGTCTTCCAGACGTGAGGGGGTCGCTGCTTGTGGGGGAGGGGAGGTTGCTCCGTGGTCGCGCACTGGCACCGGTTGGGACTCGCACGGGATGGGGGTTGCCAGACAGCTGCTGGAGCTTCCCAGGCCGCGGCAGTCCTGGCCTCAGCCTCTGCCCCCTCTCCTAGCTTGACCAGCTCCCCCTTGGCGTTGCGCAATCAGAAAAATGAGGCCGATCCTGGGGTTGGGGCGGGGGAAAGGGGGGATCAAGCCTAAGTTGGGTTCCTCCCCCATCTGCAGATTTTTCGGTTTGGGCCCCAGACAGGCTGCCCACAGCTGTCTCTGCTTGGACGACCCACTGTCTTGTGCCTGCCCCCATCCAGTGCGGCTGAGGAGAGCAGAACCTTAAGGTCCCTTGGCCTCCCCTCCCCGCGGTGGAGGAGGAGGGGCCCGCTCCCCACGGATCACCTGGCAATGGCACTGCCTGTGTCCTGGGCACACACTGGAGGGGCCTGCAGTTCAGCCCACCTAGACCGTGCCTGGTGGAGTCAGCCCCAGGCCAAGCGCGACCTGTTGCTTCCCCTCCGCAGATTCAATCAACCTCCCTCCATCCTGCACCGCATCCCCCAAGAAGGGACTTTTCCCCGGATGCTGAGCTGAAGACGGAGGGAGGGGACGGGAAGAAGGCTCCCCTCCCTCTTCTGCCTGGAGCGTGTGGTGTAAAGATACCAGCTCTGTAGAGCTGGGCTCCAACCTCAACTCCTCCGCCTCGGTGGCTGTGTCCCGCCCACCTCGGGCAACTTCAGTTTCCTCATCTGTCAAATGAGAGGATTCATTGATTCTTATCTCACGAGCTCTAGTGAATAAGTTAGATTACATTTGTGAAAAGCCCAGGACAGAGCCTGGTAACTCTCAGAGTCTCAAGAAATGTTATTCCAGGGAATCCCCTGGTGGTCCAGTGGTTAGGACTCCGAGCTTTCACTGCTGAGGGCTCCAGTCCGGGAACTAAGATTCCGCAAGCCGTGAGGCACAGCCAGATAAATAAATAAATAAATGAATAATTGAAAAAAAGAATTCTTCTACCCCTTCCCCCAGTTTTACTGACTTTAGTTGACGAGGAGGACCCCGGCCCGGCACTGGGAGACAGCTCCCTGGGTCCTAGTGCCGCCCCATCTTGGTCAGCTCCTCCAGGACTTCCCATTTCTTAGGGACCTATTCATATACATGTTAATAATAGCTTATTATGGGAATAATGATTTGTAATAATGACAGTCATAAGACCTCTTTGTACTCACACCCTGTGTTTCCACCCTCCTGCCCAGTGCTGTGGAGCCTAACGGGCACAGAGAGGGGCCAGTGTGGAGGGGGAGGGCGCCCTCCCCGGCAGCACCCAAGTCAGGAGCTCTCATCTTCCCACCCACAGCTCTGCAGCCCGTGTGCTGCAGGAGACACGCGTACACACGCGTGCACGTGCACGTGGGCCAGCTAACCCCCTGACTCCCAGAAGGCCCCTCCTCCGGAGGGAGTGGTCAGGCCAGGAGAGAAGAGAGGCGACCAAGATAGACCGCTCCAGAGGGCGGCAGTGGAGGGGGCTCGAGGGGCCCGCAGCCCTGCCTTAGGGACCCCCAAGGTCTCAGCCTGCCCACCAACCATGCCCTCCTGTGGCCCTCCCTCCAGCCTCCAACACCCACGCCCCCCACTCCATCCCTCCATAGGCATCTCCTGAGTGCACCAACCCAGCACAGTCCTGCATGATCCAGAATCCTACTGAGGAAATAGGGCTCCAGACCATCTCTGTTCCTGACTGTTTTATCTCTGTCGTTTCCTCCTCCTCCGGGCCTGGGACACGTTGGTGCTCTCTCCAGACCCAGGTGAATTCACAAACGTATGGGCTTGGAAAGTTTACAGAGAGCTCTCACGTGTTTTTGAGTCTCGTGGCAGATGAGATCAGAGAGGCCGAGCAACCTAGATGAGGTCACACAGCTCTGTAAATGGCAAAGCTGGGATGAGATTGCGTGGTGGCTGAGAGGACCCACGATCTTTTGCTGACACCACAGCACCTCTCTGTAAGCATCAGGGTACACAGCATTCCTTTTAAACGTGAACCAGCCACCCACACTGTTCTCTTCAGCTTCCTGGCTGGAGGGGTGCCAGGCTTTTGGACACAGGAGAATAGGCCGGAAAAAGACAGAAGCACTGGGTAACGGGGAGGCCATGGGAGGAAATTCAGCAGGGCGTACTCTATTGCTGGAAAGGTCGTTACCAGTTAAACGTCCGGTTCCCAGCCTCACATCCCCCCCGGCGTCCTGTGTAGGTCCTTGGAAGCTGGGAGTCCTGGCCCCCACCCCAACCCTGGGGACGAGGGGAGATGGCTCATTCTAAACCTTTCGCCCAGACTGGTGTCTGCCTGGCGGCCCCATCTGGGAGAGGCTCAGACTCCAGCTGGATTACTTGAGCCTCAGAAGGATCTAGAGGGGCGGGGTGCAGGGGGCTAGTGCCGGGGCATCTGTACCCCACCCCCGGGGAACACCGCCCCTGGGTACCAAGTCCCTGGGTAAACTGCCCCTGGGAATGGAGCTCTCACTCAGCCTCTGGGGCTTGGCTGGGGCAGTGCTGAGTCCCAGAGACACTCAGTCAATTCTAGTGGACTTGTGGACTCCACAGGGGACTCTGCTGGGCAGAACCGGGGCTGGTTCTTCCCTCTGCCCCGTGCACCTCCCCCGCCCAGGGAAGTTGGTCTGCACCGTCAGCCCGTCTGCATCCAGCTGGAATGGGCTGGACTGCAAAATGGCCCCAGGGAGCAGCGGGCTGGAGGTGCTCTGAGCCTCCCTAGTGGGGAGTAGGGCGCCCGGTCCACTCCAGGTGGCTGCCTGGGACGGGGTAGAAAGGAAGATGGGAACAGCATGGGACGGAAGGAAGGACGGGGCCCAGAGAGGCTCAGGGAGTCAGATCTCTGCTGTTTTCTACAATGTGCACTTAATCTGATTATAAATTCGCTGTAGTGTTCATTCATTGTGACGCTCAGTCCATAGAACAAGCATTGAAGATCATTATATTTACAAAGAGAATGTATATTAACACGGTACAGGTTTAACTGAAGGGAGAATCACCCCTTTGCTTGCAATCCTCCAGAGCCTGAGGCCCCTCGGTGATGCAGCCCTGGGGGGCCTGCCCCTTTCTTCCTGACCTGTACCCCGCGCCTCCCCCACCTCCAGCCAGTCTCCTCACCAGCCTGCCCGCAAGGCCACGGGCTCCTCCCTGCCTGGACCGCTCCTCCCCCAGCATCTCTAGGTTCGTTTCCTTACCTCACACAGCTCTGTACTCAGGCATCACCTTCTCAGTGAGGTCGTCCCCACCACCCTGTTTAAATCCCCCCCACACAGTCACACTCACACACATAGTCACAGGCACACATACTGCATCCCCTTCCCTGCTTGACTTTTCTGTATACCGCGTGTCACCATCTGCAAGTCTTGATATTTCCTTAGTTCCTGTATGTCTCCTCTGCTAGAACGTAGGCTGTGTGCCAGCAGGGAGTCTCATCTGCTTCCTTTACTTGTGGATCCAGCACCTAGACTGTTGCCTGGCACCCACGGGGGCCTCAGCACATAAATGAGTGAGTGGATGAAACGGAAACGGAACTGAAAAAAACTGGGAGGAGGAAAAGGGATAACGACGGAGTTTCCCATTCTTTCATTGTCAGGAGTCAATAAACGCTACCTAGAGTGAATGAACTAATAAGGAGCGGTCTAGGTATATCATTTAGAATGATAATAATAACCACCAGAGGGTCACACGGGATTTTTAAGGCAGTGAGACTATTCTGTATGATATTGTAATGGTGGATACATGACATTAAGTACATGTGTATTACGTATATTTTTAAAATAAAATAAAATCCCTGGGGCTAGCTAGAAAGCTGGCCTGGCAATTCCCCAGGTGGGCACTGCAGGGCCTCCTGGAGTTGGGGGTGGGCACCACAGCAGAGTAGCCCCTGGGCTGGGTGTGCAGCCCCTCCTACCCCTGTGGCTCGCTCGCCCATCCCCCGCCCTGGGAAACACGGGAATCCCCAGGTTCCCCCTAGACCCCTGACAACTGGGATTGGACGGCTCCTCCAGGCTGCCTGGATTGGGCTCCCAGGAAGGAAGAGGCCCTGCGGTGCAGACAGTGCTTCCAGGCTGCAAGGTACAAACAGTTCACCTGGGGAACCTTGTGAATGCGGATTCTGATTCAGTAGGTTTGGGGTGAGACCTGAGAGTCTGCTTTTCTAGAAGCTTCCACGGAACATGCTTGGACAGCAAGGGTCTAGAGCAGCGGTTCTCAAGTGTGTCAGCAGCGGCACCTGGGAACTTGTTAGAAATGCAGGTTCTAGGCTCCACCCCGGACCCGCCAAGTCAGAAGCTCTGGGTTTGGGGCCTGTGTTGTAACCAGCCTCCAGGTGATTTTGATGCACCCAAACCACCGGGGTGGAGGACGGAGCACTGAGCCGGGAGACGGGGCCCCAGCTCCATGACACCTGGGACAAGTCTGTCCCCTCTCTGACCTCAGTTTCCTGGTCCCATGCAACGAAGGCTGCCCAGCCCGTGTTAGATTTGTAAGAAAGTCTGGCTGGTTTCTGGGGGGATCGGTTGTCTCCCCTTTGGTGAGACGAGAGGAGCATCTCTTCTCCTCCCCTGTCTGCTTTGCAGTCCCAGGTCCCTGAGGTCTGGTAGCTCCCCTCACCTTGATGGGACAGGAAAGTGGGTCTGCTCGCAGTCTGCTTCCCCCCGCACCACACACGCACATGCACACGCACACCACACACGC